TTCTATGGATTCATCCAAGGAGTCCCTAGAAGCGACCTTATCAAGGATGATCTTAAGCTAAAGTGTTTTCGTTAGACTTTAAAGGGAGCGAAAAGAGGGTGGTTTCTTGAGCAACCACCTTAAATTAAAAAGGCATATACAATGTCGTCACCTTCAAGTACTATACTCTAACAATAACAGAAGAATTGGATGAGTCTTCAACTTTAAATAACAAGTTGGAGAATTATTCCAAGATGCATGGAGGTATTTTAAGTCATTGTTGTGGGAGTACCCACATCATTTGATCCATTTGGACCTCCAAACTGACACATTTGATAATGATTGGAATCCCTCTTGTTAATCCATTCATGTTAATCGAGTGAAAGGCTACATTGGAAAGAAAAATGAAGTTGAGGTCTTTGGAGTTCCTGAATCCATGGTCTCAAATCCTCAACTTCAAGGAGACGTCAAAGTTGTTAGTATAAATGGAATTTCCATCGCCCATGAACCAGATAGGCAGTATGCTTATTATCAAAAAACCATGCAACAACATCTAAGCCTCCATTCACATGGCTTTGCAATCCATCCGTTAGTGAGGGACCCAAGCAAATGGTGAGTATGGAGGGCATTACACACCCAAAAAGAATTTCATCTCAACAGCCTGGAGAGGTCAATAACCTGAACTCTTATGGCAACCAGGGAATCAACAAGACAACAACCACCATCAAGGATGGAATCAACATAACAATTTGAGATATCAAGGTATGAACTCAAATTCTTCTCCCAAAATTTCACAGGTGTTCTAGAAAAGGAAACCCATAATGGAGGAGGTGATGAAGCTTCACACTAAATATGTTGTGGTTAGTATCAAAACACAAAATGATGAAAACCAGAGCCGGGTTGGAGTATCCATTGGGAATATCGATTCTCAAATTACTAGGCTCAACTTCCAGTTGTAAGATCAAAACTGAAAGCTTAACCAAAGGATGAACAACCTCGACCAAAACCCAAAAGCTCCATCCACAATGTAGAGGTGAAAATTGACCAGTTATCTCATTAGAGGAACATAATGGAACATCGGAGGTTTCTCACAACAATGAAAATCATTACAGGGGAGAAGGCTATGGCAACTGCTTTGAGGAGTGGTAAGCACTTGGAAGGGATCAAGGGCCTAAAGTTCAAAAAGAACTCATTTAGAAACAAAGAGATGAAGAGGTAGAAGAGCATGTCTCACCACCACAATCTATGGAAGCCTATGTCCCGCCCATTTCATATCGTCAAAGACTGAAAAAGAAAGACGATCACAAGCAATACAAGAAATTTTTAGGCATCTTCACCAAATTAAGCATCAATATCGCCTTTTCCAATGTTAATTCGAAAATTCCTTCTAGTGACAAATTTCTCAAAAAAATCCAATAAAGAGAAATTGCAAAATTCGCAAAAAATGACACTAATGGAGGAATGTAGCGCCGTCTTTCAAAACAAATTGCCCCTAAAATTGAAGGGTCGCGGAAGCTTCACAATTCCATGCTCTATTGAACAAATTTGTGAGGTAAAATCCATTTGTGATCTTGGATTTAGCATCAATCGTATACATTACTCCCTATTTAAAAGCTTGGTGTGAGGGAAATCCAATCAACAATAGTCACCTTACAATTAATGGATAAAACAGTTCGCTATCTATTGGGTGTCATGGATCTTTTCAAAGCTGGAAAGTTTTAATTTCTGGTAAGTATCTAGTACTTGATAAGGAGGGGATGGAGATCCTGGTCATTCTTCACTAGTAAAAAAAATTACATTCTATAACTAGCATTCAATAAGTGTTCTGAACAAACCGTAAATCTAAGTACCCGGCGCCGGACATACGATACAACCGGCGCCGGTCATCAAGAAATTTCTGGGAAATGCCATTCTCCGATGTTAGACATGTCTAATTCTGCAAAACGTACGAGTGTGTTGCATATGTTTTAAGGGATGTGAAGATATTTGATGGTTAGGAGTTCAGAAATTTCATAGAATCTGATATATGATTGTGAATAGACTGAAAGATTTCAATCTTTAACCTATTGAAAATCCCATTTCTATCCCTTTCTCATCACCCAATCCTTGTATTCATTCTAGTCTTTTATATTTTATTCTTGATATTTTGGTGTTCTTGAAGAAGGATGATCATACTTCTTCTTCTTTTTTGACGTGAATGATCATACTTCTTAACCATTGTTGTTTAGGTATTATTTCCTTTGTATTTTTACATTCAATTAGGTTTAATTTTCGAATGTGATCAGTATGACATTAGAGGCTAAGTTCTAATATATAGCTCAAGATGAACCTCTATGTTCGCTAGGTGTTTGATAAAAGTTATGAACCAATAAATTGTAATTTATCATATATATTTTGATTTTTTATGACTATGGTGATCAACATAGATGTATTTTAAAGTTAGTTTATACTTATAATTAATGTTGGGGTCTAAACAATGAACATTAAAGGATAAACATACACATATCGAGAATAACAATATATCCAGTGTCATGTATGTGTGTGATGTCTTGATATTCAACGGGGTTTTTGGTAGATGAATGGGACTTACACGTAACGAAAATCACGTTCCCACTGTCTTAACTGGAGTCATGAATATTTTAGCGACATTGTACTCATAATAATTGACAAATAACTAGTATTAAACTCTTGTTAAACGTATAGGGGAACCCATATACATTGATAATAGGAATTTTATCAATCTGGGACCTGAAAGATACACGAATTATCAATCCGGAACCTGAAAGATGTAATGTATCGATATAAGACCCGAATGATGAATCAATCCGGGACCTGAAAGATACACGAATTATCAATCTGGGACCTGAAAGATGTAATGTATGGATATAAGACCCGAATGATGAAAAACTATCAATCTAGGATCTAACATTTCATAGGTTTTGATTTATTTAAATTTTTATTAATTCCATTGCTAATATTTGATGAATTTTTCTTCACAAAACTTTATTAGTTAAATAAAATTAAATACTATTAAATTTTTTAAAATAAAAAATTTAATAAAATTTATGAAAAGTTAATTCTTATATTGATAGTTATCAATCATTCGAGTCCTAAATTGATAGTTTCTCATCATTCAGGTCCTATACCAATACATTTCATCTTTCAGGTCCCGAATTGATAATTGATGTATCTTTTAGGTCCTGGATTGATAAAATTCCTTAATAGTTCTTATTCTTGTTTTTAATACTATATCAAGATAGAGAAATCCACGCAGCTTATATCATACTTTAGAACTCAAATTCCAAACTTTATAAAATTAAATGTTTTTCTGTAGATCGACCCAATATTTTACCATTATTGATTACTAAAATCGACACTTGTATATTTGCAAGTTGAGCCCAGATAATTCTTCAAGCACGGAAACAGTGGCGGACCTAGAAAAACAAAGTCATGAGGTCCCTACCCTAGTGCAACTCTAATTAATGTTACTCTCATTCCAAAAAAAAGTTCGCCAAATTAACTTTTCTTGATCAATAACAATATGTTTTGGATAATGATTTTAATTATTATATTTGTATATAATTTATAAATTTTATACTTTTATGAAAATGTTTTGAATAAGAAATGTTTTGATAAAACTTTCATATTCAAAATAATTATATTTCATATTAAAAAATATCATTGGGCGAAATTAATTGTAACTGATATACGGACTACAGTTAAGAATTTTTTTAAAAATGCCAAAACAATGTAGTTTTGATATTTTAGAATAATAAATAGGAAAAATAACTTTAAATAATTACAACTATCTTCCATGAATCAAGAATAATATATACTCTAGAAATAAATTTTAATAATAACAACTATTTTAGTGTAGAACAAAAATAAATTCAGTCACTTTTCTACAAGAAATCTAGCCATTTAATACATAAAAAATTAATATCAAACCAACAAATAAATGATACTTGGAAAGACGATCACTTATTTAATATTTTTATACTAGTTTTTGATGAATTAAATGACTGATTTTTTTTTTTTTTGAAAAAATAGATATATACTTCATCCGTTCTTTAAGAGTTGCAACATTGAGTTTTTCGCATTGTTCACATACATTAAAAGTTATGATTAAAGAAAAATAAATTATTTAAGAGTTGCAACATTTGGATGTGCATGGACCCGTGGGACTTTTAGTGGGTCCTCCACTGCACCGGAAGGAATATTTGAAGGAGATGTTCGATATATGAGGCGTTCGTTGTAAGCTGGGATGGGGGTTTCTCAAATTGATTGTTAGCTAGGTTTTTTGTGTGATACTAAATAAGGTAATAGTTAATAAGAAAGGAAACTAAATTTGTTTTAGTGATGGAAAAACTTAACTAGGGATTTTTCTTGTGTGGTATGAAGAAAGCAACGGCAGAAATATGTTACCAAGTGGAAAAATTCCCGCTCACAAAAATGACTTAATACATGTATGTAGCATCATTGTAACGTATTTACATAATTGTATCATACATTTATGACACATACATATCGGTTATGTTAAATATATGTCGTAAAATAGTGACATCTAATTTAAGTGTCACCGGACGACAATTTTCTAATAGTGACTTAAAATCCTCTTTGAAAACGTGCCGAGACAGTTACCAAGAAATATTTGACTCTAAATTTTATGGTTATTTAGATTTCTCTTAGCACTCTCGTTTTCATGTGCGATACATATATGCATCATGGCAAAAGATTTGTTGCTGGGACAGAGATGTCGGTATCGTGAAGGCGAGTGTTGGTATCTCTATTTCCTACATTTTGTTGTTCCTTAAAAAAAATTATTTATCTCTCTTATTTTTTTACCTTCATTGGCATTTGTACTTGTTTGCATTTAATTTATTAATAAAACTCTGTAATAGTTAGTCAGCTCTTAACTCATGTCGGCCACCATTCAATTCGTTGGCTGTTGTTTGTATGGGCTTAAATATAATTGTTTTTTTTGTTAATAAACACAAAAGCTAGAATGTACTAAATTGAAGAACAATGTCACAGTACGTATATATTTATATTAAATATTTAATTAGGGCAACACAAAATTCCAGGGTTGATCGAGTTGCGCTAATGCAGTATTATTTAATTGAAGATGATATGATGGTTTATAGAAAGAAAGATTTATATGGATGAGAAGAAGGGTGCAGTATAAGGATGAGGGGCGGATAGGGACCCTTTATTGTTAGGAGTAAAAAAGGGGTTAGAGTCAATGATGAGGAGCTGGAGCTTCTGAATCTGCTTGCCCACACCGCTGTTCAACTCCTCCATCACGCCCTTCAGCTGCTCCAGCTCCTCCAGCCGAAGCTCCTCCACCGGCGCCTCCCACCAACACTTTTCCTCACTGTCTTTCCTCATCTTCGTCAAACCCTCCCCGCGCTTCTTCTCCACCTCCACCTGGTTCGAGATCTCCATCAGCTGCATGTTCAGCTCCCTCACGCTTGCATTCCGATGAGCCTCTATCAGCTGCTGCTGCTGCTGATGGCAACTTCCACTGCTATTGCTGCTGCTGTTGCTATTCCACATCCGAGCGAGGAAGCGGTCCACCACCGATTCCACGCTCGGGTGCCCAAAAGAGAACACCTTCTTCCCAGGGGAGAAGACAATTATGGCGATATCCACACCGCACAGTGTACTCAACTCGCTCGCTTTCTTGAACAGCCCCGACCTTCGCTTAGAGAACGTCACCAAAAGGTTGCTCTCCTTGGACATCCTCATCATCTCAATCTTCTGCCTACCTTTGCACTTCCTCACCATCCTGCTTGCAGCTTTCACTACCTGGGGTATTATGTATGTACGTGTAACCTACCTACCTTATATATTTATATACTACATGTGAGTGTGTGTACCTACAACGCACGCAATTATATTCTTTCATACGGAGTATCTTATCTGTTGCATGCATCACCTCCATCATTCAAAGATATACATTTATACACACTTGTACGTTGAATGAATGAATGAATGAATTGTTATCATTCATAGTTTACATATTAGTCATCATTGCTTCATGTATAACGTCCGTACCTACGCCTTCCTATTACTATGAATGCTTTCTTTTCCTTTTACGTCTAATAATGAGCATGAGTTTTTTTCATTTATAATAGATGATGTGATTGGATTACATTTCCAAATGTTGACTCCTTTCTTGTTTTGGAACTTATAATATTACGGGTGCGCATGCATTAAAACCCAACCAACCATATAGTATCCAATGGAGAACAAGTTCTTAAAAAGTACGTTCTACACATTTATCTCATCTGGAAACCGTACCGTGTGATACTTATACAACACCGAGTCTGTATTTTAAGAATGGATTAATATCGGATCAGACCGATTAAATTAATATAGTTTGGAGTTTTTATATTTTTGTTAGCACAAATATTTATCTGGTGGCTTGTGAGTTTAGGGCTTTAGTTCATTGACTTTTTTAAACAGGCTTTGCTTCATTGAAATGCTCTCACATTTGAATTGGAGACCTAATTTGGTTTTATAAACTATACATTCCTTTTTAGTAAAAGTGTAAAACTATTCACCACACATATTATATATGTTTCCACTAATCAACTAACATGTTGGAGAATCAATTTTCTCATGACTTAAACATTGAAAATCATAAAATGAAAGTTATTAATATCTATTTTAGGACCAATATAGTATTGATCGATGACAATGGGTGGATCAGAAATGGATATGAATAACAATTTTCTTGTATTGATGACCGCTCATTATTCAACGAGTCACATTTGTTTAAACGAGTCATTAATCTTATAAATAAGTTTTTTACCATTACATGTGTCCACGGCTTTGTATGTATTGGCATGTGCACACTTTTGTATGTAATTGCATATGCACTTTGTTCAAATGTCTTTGCACACATATTTTTAAATATTGTTTAGATAATTTAATAATTTAAATAATTAATGAAAAAAGTTTAATACTTAATTGTAAGGGTGACCAATGTAAATAAAAGGTGACCCATGCAGGCGGTAATGGGGTGGATAACTATAAAATTAATCACCATAGTACCTATAAAATTAAAAATATACTAGTAATATTTATTCACCGCCCTATAACAGTTGTACAGTTGATCAATGCGTTTTTCTTTTATATAATTTTCTTGTAGGAGTTTCTTATGTTATTTGTTTTAGTACACTACAAGAATTTGTGCATATTAGTGGTGGCAAATCCATCAAGAAATCTGCCACAAATAATCTTAGGGTGAAATGTTTGTAAATTCAATTTATCTTTCAAACGAGATAAAAATATATCCAAACCACTCTAGGATAGAATCAAATCAAACACTGTTCTTGTTTAGTGTCGAGAGAGCATGGTTTTGAATTTCTATGTAATGTGTAATTATGCTTTAGTGTTTGGTAAATAAAGTCTCTATGGTATAGTTTACTAGGTTCAGTTTCAATTCCTTTCAGTGATGAGATTCAAATGGATTCAGACGAAACCAAGTAACATTAAAATATGGTCCAATCAAAAAAATTGATTGTTCGGAGTTGATAGAATATGGTTTTGAACTTTGTGTGTAATACTTACTCATATTTTGGAAGATAAACTTATCTTTCTGTCGAGATACAAACAACTTCCAATGGAATAATTTAAGATACATTAAGATATGATCAAATCAATCATTTTTCTTGTTCAGAGTCAACAAAGTATGGATTTGAATTTCATTGTGCAGTATGTTCCATCATTTGATATTTGGTAAATGTAGTCCCTATATAAGTTTTAGAACATCAATTTATATTTCCAAAGAGATAAAATTATGTTCGAACGAAATAAAATGTACTACCTCTGTCCCGTTAGAAGGTTCTCATAGCAAAACGACACGGTTATTTAGACAATAATAAAGTACTTCGTCTCTTCGAGTATATTTTGAGAAATAATTTTAATAGATATATCTTATAATGTAGTTAGTATTGATAATTTTGATGTTATAAATGTATTATTTTTAATATTTAATGATTTGTCATTTAATATTGTTAATTGTTTCCTAAAATGGAAATGAGAAACTTTATATGGGACGTCCAAAAAAAGAAAGTGAGAACCTTCTAATGCGACAGAGGAAGTAATAAGATATATGATCAAATCAAACTCTTCGCCTATTTCTAGTGAACGTATTGTGGTTTTAAATTTTGTTGCAAAATGTATTCATGCTTTAATTTAGTATTTGGTAAATTAAGTCTCTATATGAATTTTATATCTTCAAAATTTATTACCAAAGAGGTAAATTGGCTCCAAACAGAAGTACAATAAAATATCACTCAATCAAACAATTGTGTCTGTTTGAAGTTACCATAACGGGGTTTGGAATTTCAGAGTAATACTTGTCAATCGTTTAACATTGGAAAAATTGAAAATAACAACACCAACTATATAGCAGGTCTGTTGTTAATAATCTCAACTATCGATTATTTCTTGGTGACCCCAATTATAGAGGACATCTTCCAATAGTACTCCCTCGTGATCAATCACCGGTTGTTCAGGTTAAAAATGATATCTATTTATAATAATCTGAACTATGGCTGGTCCATTTTTAGTAGTCCCAATATAATAAATTGAAAACATTGCAAATAAATTCAAAAAATAGTACTTCTTCCTTATCTATTAAATTGCCATATATATTTTTAAGGAAATATTTTATTACATGCACAACTTTCCTATTTGATTAAAAAAATTCATTTATACTTCTTATATACATAAGTTTCCTTACTTAAAAAAACAAAAGTTTCCTAAGTTTTCTCTCTTTTTAATCCTCTATCATACATTTTCATCGTTATTTCAAGCGATTTACACTTTCCCTACATTTTCTACAATTTTCATTATATAACTTATAATTAGAATAGCAATACCTTTTTATTAAAAATAGCCAAAACCTATACCCAAAATCATAAAAATTAAACGATAAACCATATCATATAATTTATAGAATATAATAATACAAAAGAAATAAAATATAAAATTTATATTTTTTGAATTAAGATGGCATAAAACATAAAATAAAATATTTTTCGTGAAAGAAGCTAGAAAAAAACTCTAAATCCTAAAATTTTTAATTGGAGTATAATTTTGGGGAAAAAATGTACGGATTAAATTTCAATAAAGGAAAATAATACAAAATCATAAACTTGGTAACGCAACTGGGAAAAAATGGAGAAAAAGAAAAAAAAGATTTGAAGAATTGATTTTTTAGTGAATATAAATTAAAAATGTCTAAAAAAGACTTTATTTAACTTCGGTACAAAATTATTTTTGCATGTTTAAAAATATTTAGTTTGGAATTTTTTAGAAATATTTCTACGTCTTCCAAAAATTGAGTTGATAATTGCGATTAATAAAAAATATTGACTTAATTAGTTCTCATTTTTTGAAACGGAAAGGAAAATTAGTCATGGGTACATAGTTTAACAAAAAGGAAATAGGAACATGAGGGTAGTAAGCAGAGAGCAGCTGGGGCGTAGCTAGGGGGTGGCCAGCCTAGGCCATGACTCACCCCAAATTAAAAAAGGTAGATTCTATGGTACCCATAAGGTACCGTACTTTTGTCCACATGGACCAATGAGAATGTAGCAGTTGAATTATTTAAATCTAAATTAAAAATGATAAAGTGATGTGGTCCAATCAAATGAATGGTAGGTACGGTACCCATTTTTTAGTCGGGTACCGGAGTTGTCACCTTAAAAAGATGCTTATATTTTTAGTGTAATTTTTTGTATGATTTGTTTTTAAAAAGGGAAAACTGTCAAATAGGCTCTCCTACTATATAAAAAAAAGTCAATTAAGCCCAATGAACTTTAAAAAAAGGGAAATTCTAAAGGCAGACGCTACTTTGCTAAATAAAGCCACCTATTATTTATAATTCCCATTGTACCCTTCTTCTAAGTAACAACACCTGAGCGGCTGAGCATCTAATTCAGCGAGATGTTTGAAGACCGGCACATAACCCTCCTTCGGTACAAAGTCCTCTAACCGGAAGCAAACTGTTCTGAACGACGAGCACATAATCTTCCTTTGGAAAATGCCGGTAAACAGGACATCGTGAGAACTGGGAAAATAAATCACTTTGAGTAGTGTTGTACTCTCTCTATATTTGACTGAGAAGAAGAGCGGAAATGGGTTTTCCACAAAAAAAGAAGATTGTATGGAGTATTTTGTGGAGCGGCATGATCTTTGATTGGGGAGGAGATGGAAGCCACAAAAATCCATATATATTTCTTCTATTGCACTGCAGAAGTTAAATCCATACATCCAAGTACGGCAGCAATGCACATCAAGTGTTTTCCATAAAAACAATTGTCACTTTGCCAGTATAGAGACAGTATGGCTTACAATATGTACATGATTGATGTTATGCATTCCTTATCGACTGATATCTTGAGTATGAGAGCCTCAGGATATATTGAGGCTACCGAGTGATCGTTGATATCTGGCATGAGTATTTCAGGATATTAGTTTCTATATTATTTTATTAAGGGCAAATTGGATATTTTAAGTAATTGGGGGCTATAGTTTGTAATATGGGGATTGTGAATAGAATTACCCTTAAAAAAATAGTCAAATGAACCATTTAGCACGTTGAGGTCCGGTTCTCCGGTCACTCTGCTGACATGGCAACCAATCTCTCAATTTTTAATTCTTTTATGTTTCTTTTTCTTTTTGTCTATTTTTTCTTCTCTCTTCCCTTCTTTTCTTCCCCAAGAGAGGTATTTCGACGATCAGCCAAGTCGCCGACGGTGAAAGAGCCATCACAATACTCCATCCCGTACTAACACTTTTTTTTCGCTATTTAGTTTGCAAAGGGACGAGTCATAGGAGGGGATAATTTTGTAAGTCTGACCAGACCACAGTAAAAGGAAGTCAAGGTCCCGGACTAGCTGGAATCGAAAATGGGGTCTGTTTGATTGTAGCAGCGCGTTCTTGCAAAGCTTGCACTGAAATACTAAATCCAGACGGTGACGTTGGTGTAGGTCCGTATAATCTTTTTCGCTACGCCGTCGGACATTGCTCCGGTCTTTCAATTGTTCCGCCGCCGACTACGGTGGGAAAAGCTGAAAATCTACACTGCCAAGCCTCCTTCCTTGCTGGAGTTTCTCACTTGGGAGAACTAGAAAGAAAATCATGGAGGAAGACGGGAAAAATAAGAGAACGAAAGGAAAAAGCTTAGAAGAAGAAACATGTTAAATGTCCCACGTCGGAAACATTTGGATGAACAAAGTGCTATATTAACACATGAGCTATTCCTACTATCAGGTTGACCTTTTAGGATGGAACCCCGTGTCTTAACATGGTATCAGAGCCAAATCGATCCATGGTGTGGGGCCCCTTATGAATCGTGATGACACGATTATAAAAAATGACAATTACGGCCAGATAAAAAAACGGACCGATGAAAAAAATGAATGATGGCACGATCTAGACGAAGTGTCTGATCGTGAGGAGGGGTGTTAAATGTCCCACACCGGAAACATTTGGATGAACAAAGTGCTATATTAACACACGAGCTATTCCTCCTATCAGGTGTTGACCTTTTAGGATGGAACTCCGAGTCTTAACATGGTATCAGAGCCAAATCGATCCATGGTGCGGGGCCCCTTATAAATCGTGATGACACGATTATAAAAAATGACAATTACGGTCGGATGAAAAAAATGGACCGATGAAAAAATGAATGATGGCACGATCTAGACGAAGTGTCTGGTCGTGAGGAGGGGTGTTAAATGTCCCACACCGGAAAAGTTTGGACGAACAAAATGCTATATGAACACATGAGATACTCCTCCTATCAGGTTGACCTTTTAGGATGGAACTCCGTGTCTTAACGTGTCTGGTCGTGAGGAGGGGTGTTAAATGTCCCATATTGGAAACATTTGGATGAACAAAATGATATATTAACACACGAGCTATTCCTCCTATCAGGTTGACCTTTTAGGATGAAACCCCGTGTCTTAACATGGTATCAGAGCCAAATCGATCCATGGTGTGGGGCCCCTTATGAAAAATGATGACACGATTATAAAAAACGACCGGATGAAAAAAAATGGACCGATGAAAAAAAATGAATGATTGCACGATCCAGACGAAGTGCCTGGTCGTGATGAGGGGTGTTAAATGTCCCACACCGGAAACATTTGGATGAACAAAGTGCTATATTAACACACGAGTTATTCCTCCTATCAGGTTGACCTTTTAGGATGGAACCTCGTGTCTTAACAAAACCCAAACAAATCAAGAAGACATCCAATTCGTGTGACAGGGAGGAAGAACAAAGAAGGATGGGGTGGAGAAAAAAGGGAAGATAGAAGGAATCTAGAATGAAAAAGAAAAAGAAAATTAAAAGAATTAAAAATTCAGACGTGGATCAGCTCAAAAACCGGATAACCGAACGTTAACCAGATAAATTACACATTTGACTATTTTTTAAAAGTTCGGGGGCATAATTGGTTGTTTTTTTTTATTTGGGGTGCTTAATTGACTTTTTTGACAGTTTTCTCTTTGAAAAAGTATGGAGTATTCTTTATATCGGTCCAGTTCGAGTGAGTGTCCTAGTTCCACGGGTGTCCCATGAGGTATAGGGTGTATCCAACCGGACCGGGAAGTGACTGTCATTTTTAGTAACATGCCATTGGCATGCTATGTTACTAAAAAAAATCTGTGAAAATTTAAAATACAAGAGAGGGGTCAAAATGTGTCGCGCCCCAATAAATGCTCCCCTGTCTAGACTTTGTCCATTCTAATTAGGAAAATTTTATGGTGCGTTTAAGTTAGGGAATGTTTTGGTGCATCCCAGACATGGCACCATCCTATTGGTCCAACTCATATTTTTATTAAAGAACATGTTTATTGGAAGCAGGTCCTTCCCTTATTCCAACCAATTTTACGTTGAGAGTTATCGGCGGAAAGAAGGCAACGAGAGAGGATGGGAGAAACGAAAGTCCCACATCTTCAACCACAAGGCACGCATGATTGCACTTCATCGTAGCGGTCCATTCCAAGGTAGGTATCATCATCTCAGTTTTTTCACTGCTCACCAATCTTGATCGAACTATATGTCAAAATTATTATCCCAAATTGGATTTGCATTTTTATTGTGAATTGGTTTAGTGTGAATTTGCATTTTGCCATGTGTGCTCCAATTTTTCATGTATTGTATCTCTGTTATAATTTTGTTGTGGTTAACAACTGCACACATTTCCTTGCAAAAAAAAAACAACTGCACACATTTGCTCCGTGAGAAACCTTCACTTATATAAACTAGCTCTAATACAACATCCTAAACACCTGCCTGAGTAAGATCTCATTGGAATGGTAAAATGACCTTTTGATAAGTCTGTAGCTCTCTTGATGAACTTACAAGAAAGACATAAACATATTTTATGTCTTTTTTACTTCACATGAGAGAATCGTTGAATCTGCTTCCTTTTGTTTTTGTTTTGAAACTATGAACTTTAGATTGGATCTATCATGCATAGAGGTGCATATGGGTAGTAATATTACTTCGTATTAGAAACCAGTTATGTTATTTTAGAAAGTGAACATGTCATTTTAAAGCCCCGTTTGAGGGTTATGTGGATCAGATGAATTAATTAAATGACTGAAAAGAATACATTATACAAGCATATGTGTAAAACTATACATGTTCTACACATAGATACAATGAGTCTCATGTCATATATAGATAATCAGATAATGTACTACATTTTTCAGTTTTTTCTTCTAGCAACAAAATAAGCAAATAATAAATTGGTATATACGGGAACTAGGTAGCTAGGAACTAGCATCATATATAGAGCCCGTTTGGAGAACTCTGTTTTCGGCTTATCAGACTTATCAGCCAGCTTTTTCACCAAACACGTAACTTTTACTTTCGCGCGCTGAATTGTGTAATAAGCCGAAAAAGTAAGGTTGGAGTTACTTTTCTGGCTGTATTGGCTGAAGTTACTGTAGAGAACCATTTTAGCTATTTTTACATATAATTTTTTCTTTAATTTATTAATAAAATATATTTTTTAAAATATTTTTTTCTTAAATCAGCAGAATCAGCCAAAACAGCCACTCCAGCCAGAATATCATAAATTTCAGCAGAATCAGCCAAAACAGCCGATTTTGGTGCTACCAAACGGGCTCATACTCAGCCTCACTAAATATGAAATAATTTAACATTATCCTAATCACAAGGTCATGAGTCATGACATGATGAATGTATGTGAGAAGACGCTGCAAAATTGGGTAGCCCCAGGTTAGCTGACGACGTTGATCTTTCTCTGTCCGGTGATGCATGCAAAGGTTCTGTTTTCTCCTTATTTATCGTGTGGTCTATTATATGCTTTATTTGTGGTTTAATACACAATTATGATGTTGATTTTAGGAAGGGAGTGGAGATATTTTGTCTGGAAGGATGAATTATTGGCACCAGTGACCAACAGAAGGAAAGATATGGTGAAAGTGGTTTTTGAGGAAGTAAAGCCTCTTCAATTGAGGAATTAAAATCCATCATTTCAGCTATGAAAACGGATTTAGAAAGCATTAAAATGATTGTTCATTCGGAAGCAAAAAACATGCTATTTTGGAAGAGAATGTGTCATGTATTTATAATGGTTTTTGTTGTTGTTATGGTAAAGAAAATGTAATAGGTAGGACTAGTATCTGACAAACCACAAATGTAGTCCTTATTCTATATTACGTAGTACATTGTCATTGTACCATTGGATGCATCTACTGCTATTTTTTTGTCAATCAGAGTGTGTTTACAATGAGGCTTTATGATTTACTGTTGCTGGTTTTTTAGGTGTGCTTTTTTGTTCATTTTGTTCTGGTTTTGTTAATGTTTCTGGTAACTAAAGAAAAACACTTCTTGCCTCCAATATTACAAAAGGGTTTGAAGACACTTATAGTAGGGTTGGTCCTGATATAAGAAGCCTCACCATAAGCACAAAAAGGATGAATGATCCTGAACTAGCCCAATTCTTCATTAATGTAATGTTAATGAATCAAATGGAAAGTAAACACCACTCTTTTCGTAACACTATCAACAGAGGTTAGCTTAAAATTTCCTTCGGTCCCATTTCGAATTTAGAAAAATGATTTGAAAAGAGAGTATAGAATACACAAACTGCACTTGAAAAAGAGCTCAACTTATATCACAAAAGCTATTACAAATGTCTTTTTTTTTCAAAACCCTGAATTCCAGTCTATTGTCAAGAAAAGCATGAATATTAAGGCTGAAAATGTCATAGCTTTTTTTGTTGTTGTTGCTCTTATGGTCAATGACATGTTACTACGGTTATGGTATACTCTCATTATCTCACCACCATTTAGAGAATTGTACCAAGCCAAATGATTTTGCCGCCATTATCCCACCTCAAACAAATATAAGCACATGCATAACTTCACCCTCCAACCGGTGTAACCATTATATGGAGTAGCAGTAATACAAGTGAAGTAACCACAAAAGTAAGTAACAAGCTAGCGTATGGTATTCTTCCATAGCAATGAAGTAAATTAGGAATAGCAACTAGCCTTGAACTTTTCTTACGGTTCAGTTTATATTAAGTCAATTTATAACTCGCTTAATGAGCATTTGGATAATAGCTATTTTTTAGATACATATTATGACATGCCTAATGAGTTTAATTACACAAATGAGCTCAAACCATCCACAATAATAGGTAGCTGACAGTTTACATGCAAAAAATTAGCTCTTAACTAATGAGTTGCAAAAAACAAAACACCCCTTCACAAACAACAAAATATCCCTTCCAAGATAACAAATTAAACTACAAGTAGCTCAAAATGCTAATCAAGTTCTTTCTACCCATATTATAGAATTATTTTTAAAACCCAATATGCTACGTAATTCATTTATTCTACTCATTCGTCAAATCTTATTGTTGTACCACTACCACTTGTAGCACCTCTTCCACTGCACCTTTGCCACCCCTCCGCCCCTTTCACCTGTGCCATGACCTTCAGACCTAATAGAAGACCCAATAGTAGGACAAACCTCCAAATGATGTAAAAAGAAATAGAGGAGTAGAGGACAATGAAAAAGGAGCAAGTCAACAATGAGTATGAGATATAGGTGATGAATACACCTTAGAGATCAAATATATAAGACAATGGCATTTAAAACATGACTTCGTCACCAGGTTCCTCTCAAGTATCAAGGACACATGTTCTATTTTAGAGTTCCTATTTGAAGGTGTGAGTTCAAAAAAAACATTCTGTGAGCTTTTTAAAACGCTACCTGGTGGGTCTACAGTTTTAGAGGATTAGCACATGCAGACATATGAAGCAATAACTATGAAATAGGAGACAGTTCTTCCTGTATAACTCCTTTTAAAATAAAGTGATTTACAAATGGTCAGGTGTTTGCTAAAATACTTCTAGGTATATTTTTTAGGTGAAATGCTATAAGAAAAATCAAAATATTTTAAAATACCCCAGTTATAGCTTTAAACTTTTCAATGCTTAAAGCTGGGGAGAAGCACAAAGCAGTGTTGAACAATTAAGAAACCTGAAGCAAATTTTAAACAAGGCAGAGTGTGGAAATACAAAAAGGATTTTAAAAATAAAATCCCCGGACATTTTGTTTGTTTTTTTTGCTTCAATTGCTGCAGCTCAGGTGCAAAAGGCAACCATTAGTCTTTTAGTATACCAATAGACTAATGAAACTTCAAGATTGTTATTTTCCTGCACAAGACATTGATGCAGTCATGCAGTGTACTTGCATTTGAGAAGGATTTTATAAAGGTCTCTCCCGCTGGCGGGATAAGAAATGGTTGCGTTCAAGTTTTAATCGTTAATAACATGGTAATGGCCCATGCTAATTCCATTGCTTTAAGTTGATTTTTTCCACGAAAAACATCACAATTTCGTACTAATTCCATACGGACCAGTACTGAATGTGTTAATACTTTCCAAATATATAATTTTCTTAAAACTCCAAAGTAAGTTGGATAGTAATAATTCACAATTCAAGCATAATGCATATCATCTACTAAATTATCAGTAGTGAGATCAGTTTCATGTAGAAATCAATGTTTAAGAACCAAAAAGTGGGTAGAACTCAATGTTTATGAAGATATCAATGCTCATTGTACGGGAAAGTAGGTAGAAGATAATTTCTTAATAAATCTAAATAAGTAAAGAATCCAATCTCTTTTCTGTTTAGCATTGAGTATCTTAACAAAATTAAATAGAAACAGGGGGATATGAAATGGAAATAAAATAGGGACATAATCTCTTACCTTCCACCATCAAACGTCTTATGTTCCCAATTGCAATACAAATCTGGTGAAGGAATCCCTTCTGTGAGGACACTAATAACCCTAAGTAGCGATAGAAATAAGAATAACAAGAGGGCTCCATTCAAGGGCAGTCAAAATTTGTAGGAAAATTATTAGATTTGGAGAAATGAAAAAAGGTTCCCAATTGCAATACAAATTTGGTGAAGAAAAATCCCTTCATTCAAAAGTCAGAACACTAATAACCTTAAGTAGCAATAAAATGAAGAATGAGAAAAGGGGGTTCAATTCAGTGAAGGTAGGTTGTGATTTGTGAACGAAATGAAATGGAAAAATGAAGAAGAAAAAATTAGTGTTGGCTACAATAAGGGAACCTATATACTACGTACAATCCAAGGCTTCAGGAGGCTGCTACGAAAGAAACCACGCAGTAGACGGAACCTACGGCAAGGCTTCATGAGGCTGCCGGCGTCTGCTAAAGGAAGAAACGTGCGTCTGCTGGAAGAAATGGCGTGGATTCCTAATCGGATTTCTACTAGTATGTCTGCTGTTAGGAATTCTGAAGAAGACGATTGGAATTCTATTTTTGTGTGTGAAAGAAATAGGAATTATTCTATTGTGCAGGGCTCATATGTAAAAAATTTAAATTCCTAAACGAAACTGCTGATATGGAATGTCTTCCACTCATATTCAGCCACATGTCTAATGCACCAGAACATTCTACAAAGGGAATGCACGGGAGAGCTCCCCTTTCTAATTATGCCTGCGGCCGTTACCCCCACGATTTCTACACCCAAACGGTCAAAACCACCAAAATTCAAATCACTTAACCCGCAGCTGAATCTGAAACTAGCCGTTATCAAAGAGAAAACCGATAGAGAATTTGAGACAATCTTTACCGAATCCATTAGAATCAATATCAAATCACCCAAGAGTAAATAATTTTCCGTTTTCTGCTCCGGATTTCGATTGTGTGCTCATTGGATTGGATTCCCCAAATCTGAAGAGCCCTTTGAAAGCTTTCACGTAACAATGGCAACCCCCTCCAATAGATCTCAGTCTCCTTCGGTGGCAAGGCCGAGAAGAAGTTTCAGCGGCAGTCCATCTACCCCACTCTCCAACCCCAGACGAACTATCTGCCCCACCACTCCTGCTAACAGCCCTGCTGGTACACATTTTCTTGATCTTAACAAGAAACGATTCGTTTTGTTGTAGAAATGATACAGATTAATAATTATAGTGACTACTCTGAATTTGATTTTTTTTCGGGCATTTCAGATTCTGTCAGGAGGGGATTACCGGATAAAGAAGAGATCAGAGCTGCATGGGATTGCTCAGAGAAGGAGAACGAGAGGGCACCGAAACTCCGTTCACCTGCTAAGCATTTCATGTCCCCAACCATTTCGGCAGCTTCAAAGTTCTGTCCATCACCCAAGAAGAAAGTGTTGGTGGAGAGAAATGAGCCTGTAAGGTCATCAATTTCGCTATGTGATGGTAAAGCCACTTTCTTTTCTCCAGATTCTACAGAAAACTCAAAACCGGAGCCTGAGATTTGCTTGGATACGACCAAATCCGTGAGAAAGGTGACATTTTCTGAGGCACCCTTACATATTGATCATGGGACTGTAGTAATGGACTCCTCTTTCAGTAATGAGACATTACCGAAAAATACAAATTTTTGTTCAGATTTTTCTCCAACTACTATAACTGCTTTAGCTCCACTAGTAGCTGCTAATCCATCTGTGAGTCCTTATGATCCTAAGACTAATTACCTTTCCCCCAGACCTCAGTTTCTCCACTACCGACCTAATCCAAGAATTGAAGCTCTTAAGAGTATGGAAAAGGGTTGTGATATGGTGGGGGGAAGTAGGCACCTAGATGAAGCCTTTGTGTCTACAATTGAAGATTCTGAGTCTCATATTGAGGAATCTCGACAAGATTCAGATGATTTTCCTCCTTCTCCCACTACTACCGAGGAAGAGATTGTGGCACAAGAGCCTAAGACTTTTGAGGAGGAGACTGTGATGAAACTAGAATCTGAAGAAACAATAAGTGAGGATATACCTGGTAGGAAAAAGAAAACGAAAAGTAGATTCTGTATGGGTTCAACATGGTCTGTTACTATTTTGCTCCTCATCATGATTGCTGCTGGTGTGTCAAAGTCAGCTAGCAATTGCCCACTTGTAAACGTTTTTGGAGTGAAAGATTTGATGAAAAAAGTATATCTTTCTCCTAACCGAGGACCTCGAATTCAATCTACTATGAAAGATGGCCTGAAGCAATTATGGATTTCATCATGCTTGAGTCATACAAACTCAACCAGTCTTATAGGAGGGAGAAAATGGGAGTTCTTAGAGTATAGGGGAGGGTTGAAGAATTTGGGAGAAAATGAGATGGATAAGAATGTAGAATCTGATGATTTGGGGGTTAAAGAAGATGATGCGGCGGCAGAAGAGGAAGTTGACTCTGATGATGAAGAAGAAGGCATAGAAGGAGAAGGGGACGAAGACATAGCAACCGTAGAAGAAGCTTATTCTGATTTTGGTGAGGGAGGAGAAATTTCAGTTCTTGAAGAAGTAGTAGCTGTGGAGGATCAAAAGGAAGAGAATTGTGATGAAGATATTGGTTTGGATAGTCCCGTTGTGCCTGAAGAAACTTATAATAATGTTGGTGAGAGCAGAGAAGTTCCAGTTGCTGAAGTAGTAGCAGTGGATGAGGAAAAAATAAATGATTGCTATTCTTGGTCAAGTGAAAATGAAAAGCAAGAGGAGGTAGAAGATGATGGTGTAGAATTGGTGGATGGTCATCATCATGTTGTTTCTAATACCACCACCATTTTGAGGGGTTCTTCCAATGATGAGAAGAGTAAGGAAGAATGTCCGGTTGAAACACTGCAGCAAGAAGGGAATAGTATTTCTACTGCAAGGGTGAGAAGAATTCCATTGTCTCTTCTTCTTCTTAGTGTAGTTTCTGCAGCTGTTGCTGCAGTGTTGACCTATCTGAAACAATGTTGGGGAAAGAAGTGGGTGGCGGCTGCTGTAGAGGCAGACCTTTGTCCTTCACGACAAGCAAGCAGCACCACATCTCATAGCAGCAACCGAGAGCGACGGAAGAGCAGCAGCAGCAATAGCCACCGGAGGGAATCCATTGCTACTTCAATCGGGGAATCCCTTTCGTACGGGAGCTTCACCACGTACGAGAGGATTCCCATCAAGCATCATCATCAACATCTTGTGAGTTCATATTAATCAATCACTCTTTTGACTTTTAAAAAAAGTTGTTTCATGCTCAACATAAGTAACTCCTTCTTTGTGTTATTGTTTGAACTCTAGGGAGAAGAAGTGATTACTCCTGTGAGGCGGTCCAGCAGAATCAGAAGCCAAGTTTCTTCACCATCCCCTGGTGGTGGATGATGGACAAGGGGGCTGCTGCTGCTTCTTTTCACTAATCATGTTTACTTACATATGTCAAAGATTTATAGTAGCAATGCAATTCTTCACTGAAATTACTATCTAGCATCTACTATTGCATGTCATATTGCTCCTAACTTACTAATGTGTGCGTTGCTTTCAATCTAAATGGGAATGAATGAATCATCAATCAATTCACGGCGCCCTTGTTTGGAATGTTACACTCCAAGTTTCTTATACTCATACCAGTCAATCCATTTATTTACATTACTAGTAATGTGTACTTATATAATAGTAAAAATATTATATATTATATATAGAATTAAATTAGAGTCCATGTATAATAATACTCTCTTCATCCCGCTAAAATTGTCTCATCCCGTAAATGATTCTAAATTTATTTTGTATCAAATTTGGTAAAAATTTATGTGATTCTAAATCATTTCTACTTTATTCTTACTTTATCAATTCAATATGAGTCACGTAAATTATTAGTGGGGCATTATAGTATTGACATATTTATAATGATATGAACCAATCATATGCATCGTAGACAATAAAAATGGTACCCTCACTTATTAGTGGGGTATCATAGTATTGACTTTTTATGATTTTTAAAAATGTATTGCTGTGAAAATTGTTGTTTATTTCCATACAATTAAGTTCTAGTTAATTAAGCACAATTTCACGTTAAATTTCATATATATTCATTTATGTGCATCTAGTAACGATTGAATTCTTTTTTAAATAGTTACAAACCTAATTAATGGATAGATATAGTTAAATTATCTTTTTTATGGATAGATATAGTAAAATTAGTGAATACCTTTTCATTTTATTTTACAACTGATTACCAATAACAATTACTACCCCGTCCTGTCAAACTTTGCTAACCTTATCTATGCAACTGCCTAAAAAAATTGTCATTTCCATTTAAAGTATTAAGTATATGGGTAAATTATTATTTTCGATTTGTGGATGTCATCCTTGCGCGGGTTTAAATCAGAGCCAAGGCATGAAACATATCGAATTTATCTACGTTTTTTGGATTTGCCATTGACAAAGAAGGCTTGCTACTCGAAAATTTTATCAGCTGTGATTTTTTGTTTGATCGATTTGTCATTGACGTTATTGACAACTTCTGGAAGATTTAGATCAAAATCCTATATAAAATAGCTTGGAATCACGTTTCTGGAGAAGTTTGTAATCGTTGTTAACAGGTTCTACGAAGAAGACCGTCTCGATGTCCAGAATTTGAACTTCAGTCTCGAGGTCTCAAAGTTCGAGCATCAAAGTTCATCCTTCTTAAGTTCCAGATTCAACTCCCAAAGTTCGAGCTTCAAGTTTTGAACTCAGGTTCTCAAGCTTCAGGAGTTCGAGGTCAGTTCTCGAGCTCAAAAGTTCGAGCTCAAACTTCTTGAACCTCAAATTCTTCTAAGTCCAGTAAGTCCGAGGTTCAAAGTTCGAGGTCCAGTTCAAAGTTCAAATTTTTGCAAGTCCACAACTTCTCGATCTCTAGCTCTCGAGCTTCAACTTTCGAACTCAGTTTCCCAAATCAACTTTTGCAAACGCCTTGACACCTTTGGCCATAACTTTTGACTCAGTGGTCTGATTTAAGAAGTTAAGACCTTTTTGAAAACAAGAAGAAAAGATCTTCAAGACTCCCCTGGGGACTAGGACTACATCTCACGCGCCCTCACTCTCCTTCCTTGAACAAGATTTCTTCCTTTTTACGAAAAACTTTGTCAATCACCGAGGTCAAGGTCAAAACAGAGCTCAATTCTCCAAAGATAAACCAAAGGCCAAAGTTGTTCAAAGCTCACTCTAAGGGTCCAGAAACTTGCAGATATTCAATCAAACTCGCGTCAACGGTCTTTATCCAACAATCAACAATGGATGCTTCCCCTTGCTCATCATGATTGAGTAATATCCAATGCGCTGAAATGTCAAATAATGAGCTCAAGGTAAAATCTTCTAATTCAACTTCCACTTATCAAATACATTTTTCACGGGATAAAATCTCTTTCTTAAGTGATGAAAGTATAATTATTAAGGAATTAGAAGCTCGCCTAATCAATAATGAAAGTGTCCTGAGAAAACACTTACTTGAACAATATTTCCTTACGGTTCGTTTAACCAATGTATATAAT